TGAGGGAGCATGGGACCTGATTGGCAACAGATTTTACAAGATCAGCCATCAACTTGGTCAGTTATTGACAGTGTGGGGCCATGGGGGAGTTTTCTGTTTGAGTGTGTTTGACAGAGTCTGCCCCTCCAAGGCCTGACTGTTTCTGTGGAGTGTGCCCAGGCAAAGCTGGGGAGTGCCTAGCCCACTCTTCCCCAGCCACGGGCCCCTTCTGGCCTTTGAGACGTTAAGTAGAGGCACTCAAAGCCCCTACAGGAAAGATGTTAGAGGACTTTGCACAGGAAGAGCACTGAGAGGCACAATGTGAGTTAGAGGGCTTGGCTGGGGCAGCCTTCCCAGCAGGCGGACACAGACTCTCAGAGGGGCTGTGACTGAGCTTGGTCTAAGGCCCGGGAGCTGGGGAGCTAGCGGGGCTCGTGGAGAGAGGGGGTCCTTGCTGTAGAGAAGGAAGCTGTGATGCTGCTGAGCTCCTCCTGAGCTCGGTTGTGAAGAAAGGTAAGCAAAGAATGAGCCACACCCCTCTGCGTGTGAGGCAGGGCCACTGAGATGTGCCCAAGTCGCCGCAGGCTGAGGTTTGTGACTTCAGCACAGCATTCCCGGATTCAGTCAGACCCCAGGGAAGGTCAGGGAAGGGGGTTGGGGTCTGAGTCCCAGGCACAGGAGGACCCGTGCATTGTCAGGGTTGTAGGCAGGGATCCGCGGCTTAGCGAGGGTCGTGAGTTAAGACTTACTATGAGCCCTGCCTCCTAAAGCCCGTCCTCGGGACCTTGTGAAGCAGACACCACGCCAGGCTGTGGCCAGTTGTTGACCACTTTTTCCCAAGGCCAGGACACCCTCATGGTGGCCTCCAGCCCCAGTCTGTGAGAATAAGACACTTTCCTGGGAGGTGACCCATGTACAGTAACACACATGGCAGTAGTCCACAGTCTGTGGTTGGGTCTAGCTAGCTGTGATTGACCTCAGTGAGTTCAGACAGCTGGCCCGAGATCATCACAGGGCAGTTACTGGACAGAGTTCAAGCTGGCTGCTCACTCTACATATTCCTCAGAGTTACTCATCGGTTTGCAGAGACCTGTCACGACCGAGGTCCAGTCTGTGAATGAGCCTAAAGGAGGTGGGAGTCATCTGAGCATGAAGACATGCGTAGATGTGTCTCCTCACTAAGGTTCAGATGGCCAATGAACAGGGTCTGTCTGTCCGCTAGGTGGAGAAGGGTGGCTTGGAAATAGGAGTGCTGAGCAGAGTCTTGATGAGTGACTGCCGCGTGGTGATAAAGGCCATCGGGTATGGCGGTGAGGAGCAAGTGTCAGGTCCGTGTCAGAACAGCCCCACTCTGAGGTCATCGCATGCATGGCAGTGGAGACACTCAGAAGGAGTCGCAGTGTGGTGGCTGAGCAGTGCTGAGCAGTGACGGCCAAAGATGAGTCCTGGCCAGAAACAGAAAGCTGCAGGGGAGTGCGATGTATACAGGAAGACAGGAATGAGATGGGAATAAACCTTGTCCCGACAGCAACCGCGGGAGAACTGAGGAGGCGGCGCGCCCCTGCCAAGGAGGTATCTGGCTGCCGCTGTGTCTGCTGCGCAAGTGTGACCCGTTTTATTTTAGTCCCGTGTCGCACATAAGGTTAGTTTTCGTGACTCAGAGCCGAGACACAGGATGCAGAAGTTGCCCAGCCACAGCGCAGCTGGGACTAGAGTTTGGCTTCTCATCTTTCAGTCCTGTGATCACTTTCCACATAAAGTTTGTCCTTGGTTGGCACCAGAAGTTAAATTTTAAAAGAGCCTCTGTGCTTGTTAATGCACCTTCTAGAAGCTTCCCACATGGGGATAGGGTGGGGTCACAGCTACTTGGTTCCCTCTGGGTCCTGCTGCAGCCCATGACGATCCAGATGGTTTCCCAGCTTCCCTACCAGGCACAGAGCCCAAACTCTAAACGGCAAGGAGAAGGGATGTGTGGGTGTGTGGGTTCACTCCACCTTTGTCATCAAAAAAAAAAAAAAAGGACCTGTCTGCAGATGAGCCAGATGTCACATCAGGGCTTACTCACTGGACAGCTGGTCAGCCAGTGAGAGTGATTTAAATACAGATGCCTTGCCTGTATGTTCATGACGCTCTCAGGGAAGATAGGGGGTTTCCAGGATGCTGTGGGGTTCTAGTGCCGGCTGTCACTCGTGAGAGTTGTTGGGTCTGGTTTTTTTATGCAGCTGGGTAACCCAGAGAAAAGCACAGGTCTGTTCCTCCATGGTTACTCAGTGGTGGAGGCCAGGGCAGAGGCTCTTAACAGCAGCATCTCACAGATGAGAACACTGCTCTGTTCATATCGCCAAGACTGCACTCAGGAAGACAGCTTGATCTGGGGAGCCTCACTCGGTTCAAAGCACCACCCAGGTTTGGCGACAAACCGTGGTCAGTCTCTGCAGTTCTTATAGGCCCTATCCTTCTCCCGAGAATGCTGCCCTGCCTGTTGCACTAAGCACCAGCCCCCAGGGTGCTGTCTCTGAGAGCTCACCTTCCTAGTGCACTCAAGGCTGAGGATAAACTAGCAAGGAAATGGGAGTCTCAGGCGTTCCCTGTTGTTTCATGTGGGCAATAGGGAGAGCTGCCCCCATCCCCCCACCCCAGCTGCCCCCCATCTACCCTACCCACCCATCCCCCCTGCCCCAGCTGCCCACCCATCCCCCCCGCCCCAACTGCCCCCATCCCCCTGCCTACCCATCCCCCCTGCCCACCCATCCCCCCTTCCTCAGCTGCCCCCACCCCCCCTGCCCCAGCTGCCCCCACCCCCCCACCCCAGCTGCCCCCCATCCACCCTACCCACCCATCCCCCCTGCCCCAGCTGCCCACCCATCCCCCCGCCCCAACTGCCCCCATCCCCCTGCCCACCCACCCCCCTGCCCCAGCTGCCCCCACCCCCCCTGCCCCAGCTGCCCACCTTGCATGTGTTTTGTGTGATCTTGGCTGTGCCGTGTTTGACTTGTTCCTCTGTTTATTATTATAAAGCATATATTGCCCTATTGAGATGGCCCAAAAAATAACCATTAAGTATCTAGTAGCCATTTCTCCGTGGTTATTGTATAATTTACTCAGTCGCTTTTCTGCCCTGCCTGCTTATTCCTGACTGTGTGTAAGCTGGAGGCCTAAGACGCCACCGAAAGAAGATGCTTTGGTGCTGAGCAGGCTGGGGTAGGTAGGGCATTCAGCTGTGCCCAAAGAGAACACCTGGCCTTTCTTCCCAGCTTCTTGAGTTGAGTGCTAACCACACTGGTAGTGCTAGGATGTAGGGCTCGCCATACCAAGAAGACCTGCCTGAGGTAAGGGGTCTGTGAGCCCCATGGTTTCAGTCAGGCTAGAGGTTGTGCTCACGGTCCAGCCATTTCTCTGTTGGAACACTCGTGAAGCTCGGATCCTTGGCTCTGAGCTGTCTTGGTCTGCATTGTTCAGTGTGTTGTCAAATGGAGAGAGGACAGCTTTTAGTCACTTCCTGAACACTGTCCTGTGGGTTCACCTTGACTGATGTGACCTCTCGTAGTACTGGTCGCCTGGAGGAGACAACTTCCAATGGGTCTTAGTGAGCTATTGAAAAATTCTTGGACCCTTGGGCAGCGTCAGTAGCAGGCAGTCGGGGCACACTGCAGAAGATGGTGGTGGTTGGACTCATCACTCTGACATCCCATGAACAACTGTGAGAGCTTGGGTCAAGAGCTGGGCTTGGTTCTCCTTGGGGGTGTACCCCACACCTCCTGTCCTGTATAGACAGCCGGCGGCCATAGGTCCAGCTACCACACGTACTCCTCCACGTGGGGTAAAGAGACTCCAACCCCCCGTGCTGCGTTCACCTCGGGCCCTGGTTTCTCCCAGTAAGTAGTAGGGTGCTTTGTGATCCCCACACATGACCAGCACTGGGCTCCGTGACAGCTCTGTGACTCCGTGAGCTCTGCTTTAACAGATTAAGCTGGGCATTTGTTTTGTTTTTCCCTGACTCTTTTCTGTCCTATCGCTAAGCCTCCTTGAAGACAAGAATTTTTGCTTCTAAACTTAGTGGTATTAGTGGCAGGAAAGACTCGCTCGGCATAGATGTGTTGTGTAGCTAGCCTGAGCCCGCTCCCCTCTGTTCCTGAGTTTTTGAGTTGTTCTTACTGACAGTACCATCAAATGGGTGACTATAATAGGAATTATTAATCTGTTCCGCCTTATAAATAGCAAATCACACTCTAGTCTCTAAACCAAATCACTGTGAACACTTTCCTTCTGGGAGGAAGAAAGAGTTTCTAGTCAGCTATAATTAAACTTGCTACCTAGTGGGTAAAGTTAAGCTTGCTGCAGAGCAGAAAGATGCAGGTCATGTCCACACCTTAGGGCTTTGAACCACATTCTTGTCCTGGACATGGACACTCTGCCCTGTGAGGATGCAGGCTCTGTTTGTGGATTAGCGCCCAGCAAAGCTCTCCTCCGCCCTCCCCCTTTACACAGTGCACGAGTCCGCCCTGAGTGTGGGCAGCAATTCCCACTGCCTGGCTCTCCGTGCTCCTCATCCCCCTTCACACTGAGTGGCACGCTTCGTGGTAGCAGGGTCCCATCTTGTTTTCAGGACCTATTGAATGACTGCAGGGCAAGGAGGCCGTGCAGGGTAGGACGTGTCCCCAGCTCTCCTGTAGCAGTGGGGTCCAGACAGGGCTGTGGAAGAGGACTGTGGGACGGTGATGACAGCTCACATGTGTGTGTTTGAGCCTGGTTGGGCTCGTGCTGCATGTGTGGAGCTGTGCAGCTCTGTGTTGCCAACTGCCCTTGGTCTGTACATACTAGGGCAACAAGAAATCTGTCGGTGTGTCCTCCTGGAGGGGAGAGAGTAGGAGCCACTGAGGGTAAGCCTGTGTAGTGTCTTGTCTCCTTCAAGGAGGCATGCAGGAACTCTGGGAGTGTCAGGGACTCCAGAAGTACTTCCCAGCCTTTCCCTCTCAAGCTCTGCTCTCGCATCTGACTAATGCAGATGCCATCTTGCCTAGGATCCCTGGCCGGCTGAATGACCGCAGAACCCCTCTGGGTGAGCTGAACTGGATCTTCACAGCCATCACAGACACCATCGCCTGGAACGTGCTCCCTCGGGGTGAGAGACACCACCATCACACAGGGCCACTAATTCCCTCCTGTGGTGGTGTTGGTACAGTGCTGAGAGCCATGTCAGGAAGCGAGCTCTGTGTCAGCCCTGCTCCCCCTCAGTAATGCTCTCCCAGCAGGCAGGCCCAGGGCTCAGCTTCCTGAGTACATGTTGGCACGGTCCTTATCTGTTCAAAGCAGGGTTCCTGCTATAAATCATGTGTGTGCTCTGTTTATAGGTTGGCTGGGTTTTGTGTATTTGTTCATATGTAGACATGTGTGTGTGTGTTACCAGTGAGAAATGTGTGTGTCAGTCTCAACTTATGTGTAATAATTTTTGATGGAAGAAAGCTTGTGTGCTTGGCTTTCAATGCTGGGCACAAATAACTGAAGATTTCTTGTTTTTTTTTTTTTTTTTTTTTTTTTTTTGCCTTTAGATCTCTTCCAAAAGCTCTTCAGACAGGACCTGCTGGTGGCAAGTTTGTTTAGAAATTTTTTGTTGGCAGAAAGAATCATGAGATCGTATAACTGCACTCCAGTAAGCAGCCCACGACTCCCACCAACATACATGCATGCCATGTGGTAAGTGTGTCCGGCTAACGGTTCTGTTGCACTTGGGTCGCTGGCTATGTGCTCTAGTACTGTGGGGTTCTTGGAAGCATAAGTGCCCTGGTCTGGTGAGAGGTGACGCCAGCCTTGGGAAAGAAGGGTGTCAGAAGACTTGGACCCACATTCCCCCAACTGGTGGAGCTGTTTTGAAAGGCTACAGAGCCGTTAGGAGGTGGACCCTTCTTCGAAGAAGTGGATGATTGGGGGCAGGGTTACCCAGCCCCCTTCCCGTCCCTTCTGTTTCCTGACCATGGACACAGTGAAGCCAGCTGCCGCATGCTCCTGGAGCCATGCCTTCCCCGCTGACATGGACCACTTCTCTTGTTTTATTTTTTCTGCTTTTGGTTTTTCATGTGTAGCCTAGGCTAGGCTGTCCTGGAACTTGCTCTGTAGCTCATGCTGGCCTCACACTCCCACATCCCTTCTAACCTGTGAGCCACATTAAGCCCCTCTGGCCGTTTGGGAACTCGTACTGAGAAAGACACTGTCCCAAATGTAAAAACAGTACATTTCTCTAAAATGTAAAGTCATGTGTGACGTACACACTCACACACGCGCACGCACTCACACACACACGCACGCACACTCACACTCACACACTGGTGTTTAATACCTTACCATGGCCACAGCCAGTGCTAGTGGTCATAATAGTGAAGATAGGTGTGGGGCTGGTGAGTCAGTTCAGCCAACACCATGCAGTGGTTCACAGCCACCTGTAACTCCAGTCCCAAGGGATCCAGCACCCCCCTCTGGTCTCTTCTGGCACTGCACACACATGGCACATATAAACATATGCAGATAAAACACTCATACACGTATAATTAAAATAAAATTTAAAGTAATAAATTATTCTTAACGCGAACATATCTGAAAACATTTGATGTGGCTTTCTGTATTATCAACTTTCCGTTACTTTTAAAAAGACTTATTTATGTATTTTATGTATATGGGTGTTTTGTCTGTATGTCTGCACACCGGAAGAGGGCATCAGATCCCACAGTATGTAGTTCCACGCTCTTGACTGATAAAGGCCCAACATTCTTCCCTCCATCTGGACATTGGTGGTAACCGGGAGTTGACAATGTCTGTTCTGGGAAATGGTCAGTCAGTTTAGTGTTTCCTCCCCTCTAAGAAAAAGCCGAGCCCTCCGCCCAGCAAAATGACAGCAACAGGAAGGCCTGTCCAGGAAAAAAGTTGTCAGCTTCATGAGCTGCTCCAGGCTGGACACCCCTTTCCTACTCTTCCTCAGTGCATGTATGGCCGAGCCTTCAGATCTAGTGGGCCTCTGTTTCCTGTCCTGTAGCTGCTTCTAACCCCAGGCTAAGGTGGTCCGGACAGTGGCTGCTCCCTTTCCTTCCCCTACAGCTTTTCTGTTGTAAGGCTGGAGCTACAGTGATCTGGGGCCTGCTGCAGAGATCACTATTCATTGTCTGACAAATTCTCAGGAGACACAGCACCAGGTGACTTCTGGTCTTACACAGATTTTTCCTGTGGCCTTTTGAGTTTGTAGGGATCGAACCCAGGATGTTGCACTTGTTTTAAGCCGTATCCAGAGTGTTCTGTTGGCTCCCCGGAAGCTTCTGGGCCCAGAGGAAATGACTGGATCAGAGGGGCTGGGGAATCAGGAGGGAATGCCCCACTTGGGGTCTGCGTGTAGGCAAGGAGCCAGGGCAGGGACTGTTGGGAATGCAGAGATGTACTGGGCAGTAGTGATGAGGGGCCAGAGTGCTGACAGGCGTTGGTGACTGAGTATATTGTAGCTGCTGGCATCAGGGAGCAGCTGGAAGCAGGCTCTGTGGCACCTGTCAGTCTTCTCCCTGACGTCTGGCATACACGGTCTCACTGGTCTCACCACACTTCTGACATGCACATCATTTTCTTAACATTGGCATCTGCGAAGCTCAGAGTCCAAAAGTGTGTTGCTTGTCCAAAGACACACAGTACCTGCTGGCTGAGTGACAGCCTCCCCGGGGGCCTGCGTTGCTCAGTCCTGCTAGGAGATGGGATTGCTGCCAGAGAAGAGTATCTCAGAAAGTACACAGCAGCTTTGTGGAGAAGTGACCTGGGGTGGGAGGCCTGTTAAGAGAAAGGGTTCACGGCACAGGGCTGAGAACCACCAGTGCTTCTTTCCATCACATTTCATCACTTTGTTTGGAGGCAGGGAAGGCAGTGCACGCAATAGTGAAGAGCACTGATGCCCAGAGCACCCCGAAAACTCATCCTCTGAGCGGAATTAAGTGTCAGCACCCCATCAAGTGCCTGTGTGTGGATATTGCACAAATGCCATTTGGCTGACCCAGGTGTGAGCTGGGACCCCATGGCAGTAAATCTGCATGGAACTCGGGAGAGAGGAAAGGGTGGCTGAACCCTGGGGGGCCAGCAGTGTGTGGAGCATAGGTATAATACACTTTTCCGACAGAGTCAGTGCACAGCCAGGGCCAGGAGGTCTGTGGACCGTAGGCACAGGCGTGGCGACAGCAGCCCGAAGTGTAAAGTAGCCCACCACAGAAACCAGTTAGACCATCCCATGTTTGGTTAAGTAGCCAAAAATCAGTGTCTTTGTGGATTGTTACCTGTTTTGGCTTTTCTTATAAAGTTGGTATCTAATACAGTATTCATAAAAACATTTTGAGGTCCAAGCTAACCATATCCATAGACTACATGTAGCTCACAGTCTGCTTGTCAAGAGCCAGGCTGAAATGCCAGGCCCAGGCTTGAGGTGCCCCTGACCTCAGCACGGCAGCCATCCCTGCACATGGATGAAGTAGCTGTGTGCATTGATGAGATGGCTTCCTCCTGAAGCCAGTCTGGACAGTGTCTGAATGTCCTCTCCAGTTTGAAATCATTGGCCTGGCATCATGGCTCCTGTCTTTGGCTAAGCAAGTGCATTTGAAGGGTTCTTGTTACAGAAGCAGAGAGATGTGATTTCAGGGGGGAGAGTTGCCTGCCTCTGACACATGTTCTCTGGGGAGGGTTTTCAGTAGTGACCGTGCTAGCATGAGTAGAGTGGGGAAGTAAACGCTCGTCAACCCCACTCTGCTGGAAATTACATCGTGAAGCCACTTTGACCATCAGCCAGCGCAGAGATCGGCTTCAGACCCTGGGAGGGACTGGAGCTGGGTGGCATGTTGATGTCTTTACCTGACAGTGCCAGCCAGCAAATGTGCATTGGGGTGGGGTTTAGCATCCTTTGGGAAACTAAGTCACCTAGAAACTCCAACTCACTGGAGCTAAAAACTCCAACTCACTGGAGCTAGTTGAATGACTAGGCATCCTCTCCTGGCCTCACGTCTAAGTGCTGCTGCTGCTGCTGCTGCTGCTGCTGCTGCTGATGATGATGATGATGATGATGATAATCATCATTTTATGTGAATTGGTGCTTTGACTGCATGTATGTCTGTGTGAGGGTGTTGGATCCCCAGGAACAGGGTCCGCAGACAATTGTGAGCAGCCATGTGGGATCTAGGAATTGAACCCGGGACCTCTGGAAGAGCACGCAGGGCTCTTAACCACCAAGCCATCTCTCCGGTCCCCTAAGTGCTGTTGTAACGGTGACATTCAGTCCTCTTGCCTGCTGCCTTCTGGGCCTAGTGTGACTTACTGGCCAGGCTGCCTTGGATGGCTCCCTGGATATCAGAGGCTCCGTGTACAACCCCATTCCAGAAAGACTCCCCAACTCCCTGGAGTGAGTGTCAGGGGCATTGCTGAGAGTCCTCATGTATCTCTGGCCTGGGTTGTTTTCTCAGCGTTTGTCACCAAGAAATACTGCTGCTTGAGAGGCATCTTCTGCAGGGTCCATTGTTCCAGAGTCTCATTGTATACTAAGCTGGAATATCCACATACCAGCATAGTTCTCACCAAATAATCTCCCGGGAGTCCAAACTGTATATGAGTCTAGTGGTCTGGAAGCCTAGAAACCTCTAGAATAGCGTGACACACTTGAGCTGGGGGTTGTATGAGAAGGTCATCCCACTCAAGCTTGAGGCACAAGCACCCTCCCCAAGGGACAGGTTCTCTCTGTGCCCAGCTTTGTTTGGAGTAAACTGAATGAGAAGCTGGGCCGCACAGCCACAGTCCCAGATTTGCAGCATATTTATGCCCAGAGAAGAGAAAGGCTTTGATCCCTGGCATGGGCACCTTTACCCTGCAGATCTAGAATGTACAGCAGAGCTACCCTTGAGAGAGAGAGACCGTGCTGGTCAGAAGAAATGCTCTGCCAGATGCTTCTCCCTTGTCAGGAAGAGGTGTGGTGTCTGAGCTCGGGAGTCCAGCAGTGTTTCATACTGGCCTTTCTCCTGTAGTTTCTTGCCAAAACACAGGCTGAGGGGTTTCCAAGCCTTCCCCTCCTGTAGATCCACCCTTTCCACATCTCCCCCAGCTCCAGTGCCACATTCCAGGGCCTGGGAAGGCCATGTGGGACAGGCTCATCACCGCCTCTGCCCCCATGAAGGAGGTGAGGAAAAGAGGTGGAGAGCCACGCCCACCTCTGTAACTGTAGCTACGTCTGAGGGCCAAGCCACGTCAGCTGAGCTTCTTCCAGGCCTGGTCACTGAAGGGTGACCGGTGGGCCCCTGCTCTGCCATCTGCCACCCCAGGAGATGAAACTTCCCATAGTGCTCAGGGCTTGTGCTCCCTCATAAATAGATGGGGGCACACACATCCCCAGGGAACTCACAGGAAAGAGCCTTTGGAATAAATAATTCAAAATCCGGTTATTATATCCTTGAGTGGTGATGGAGAGGCTGTGTTTCTAGTGAGGGAAAGGGAACAGAGCCTAACAAAAGCAGGGGTTGAAGCATAAGTGATGTACATTTACACTCTGCTTCAGGCGGGGAAGCAGATGATGAAATACTCAGAGCCCGTTTCCTGTTTAATTTTTGATGCAAAGCCATCAGGGAGTCATTCTCCTTCACTCTCAATTTCAGGGGTCCTGGAACCTTGCGTTTCTCTGTGGTAATAACCTGTGCTTTCTGCTCATTGATCCGTGCGGATGGAGCCCACACTGGCTCGGAAGGCTTTCCTCCAGCCCACCGCCTGGGCGCTTGCCATCCTAGCCCAGTTTCCTGAAAACCCAGGCTCTTCCTGGCGGTGACTCAACCAGCAGCTTAGAAAAGCCCCCACTCAGTGCTGCTGCATAGGGAGGGGCCAGTTTGCATCGGCTGGGCTCATCCTAGTACCCGTCCTGTCTGCTGCAAATTAGCTCAGTTCTGCCCACTTCAGAGATGACCGAGCCTCCCTGTGGAGAGCCAGTGCGGACACCTCCCTGCCCTTCCCTCGTGTGTCTATGTGCTACATGGTGTCTTGGTGTGCCCTGGGTGACGCTCGCCCCCGTGAAACGTGCAGAGCCAGTGTGCGCCACCACAGCTGCTGTCGCAGGGTGTTACCGACTGCTTGTCCGTAGCTGAGAATCCCAAATTAAGACTGCACGTTTGGCTGAGTGTCAGCCGAGAAAATGCAGCCAGTTTCCATCAGCTGGTGCTTGTGCTCAACGTCGGTGAGATTGGTACCGATTCCTACAGTTTGATGGGAAATCAGCGAGGGTGCTTGTGGAAGAGCCTCCCTCTATTCCGTCTCAGCCCAGGGAGCTGGCACAGGACTGAGGTGCCTCGGCTACCAGTGGCTGGGGTGCTCTTGAACCGGACTCTTCTCTGTGTTCCCTCACAGCTACTCTGTGCTGCCCCTTAGCCCAAAGCTACAGCTCCCTTTGCTGACTCTGTCATTTCAGCAGTCTCCACCAAACCTTTCACACAGGAAACAAAGCTTGGAGCTGATTTTCTGGTGAAGGAACTGTGTAGTGGGTTCAGTTCTCCCAGCAGTGGGGGCTGGGAGGGGCCGCAGACCAGCAGAGGCAGTCATGCCAAACAGGGTCCAGTGTGTGGCTTAGAATGCATTTGCCCCAAGACTGTGATGGCGCAGCAGGCTCCACAGCTCAGGCACAAACAGGAGGATGTGTGTGCTCTACCTTTCTGCTTAGTCCCAAAGTGTCCGTGCCAGGCTGCAGCTGGTCAAATCAGCCAGGCTGCCAGACACACCCCTCCCTTTCCACTTCCCTCATTTCTACCCTTTCTTCTAACTCCTGAAATTGAAACTTTCCATTTGATTAAATTCTAGGCATTTCCATAGAGTTTAATTGCAGTAATTGACTTTGCTTCTGTCTCCACAAAGAATAGATGTCTCCCCGATGCTGACGAGCACTCACTTGCCTGCGGTTGGGGGTTTATTGAGCATATGGGAGCTATTTATTGCCCAAAGTTGGAGCCACTTTTGATTATCTCCTGATTGCCTCTTAATTTCATCAGCAGGGAAGGGCTGCATGGGAGTGAGGGTTGTGGGCAGGGAGGGACAGTGTGCACAGAAGGGGCCAGCGTGGGGGAGGGGTGTAAAAGGAGTAACTTTCATTTTAAATCCTTTTCCTTTTGAATTTTAAATGTTTCCACTCTTGTCTTGGTCCTTTATTAAGACATAGAGAAAATGTGCCCCTTTACCTACCAGCATGCAGTCTCATTAGTCTAAATAAAAATAACAAGAATCTTTGAGTCTCCCAGGAAATTACCTGGGAGAAGAGATTGCTTCCCAGAAACAAAAGCTGCCTTACTGATCATAGCCATTTTCACAGAAGAGCATTTTGCAAAGTCAGGGGAGGAGGACTAGCAGAGACGGAGAAACCGTCCTGTGCTGTGTGTAGTCCTCCAGCCTGGAATTCATGACAAGTGCTGTGCACGTCTGACTGCCTCACCCTGTCTGCAGCTTAGCCAAGGCCTTTTCCTTATCTCAGGGCCCCATGAGGAAGATAGCAGCATTGTGTACCTGGTGGAGAGTGAATCAGGTTCCTGGAGAAACAAGGCCCAATTAGAGCCATATGTCCAGACCTGCGAGTAGCCACTCTGTGGGCCCCTGTCTTTGGGGACCCACGGAGGGCAGGGCTTAAGCCAGGCCTGTGGTACGTTCTCTTCCCCCATTGTGTCTGCCCAGCTTCAGCTCTGGGCAGAGGGTGCTTGCTTTCTTCTCTGACTCAGGAAGTACATGCTAACGACCTGCGTTTGAGGTGCCCACAGCAGGCTGCATAGCAGGGCCTGGGGTTGTGACACCATGCACGGGAAGACTGGCAGACCCTGCTGACTTAGTAGTAGGTGTTTCAGACATGGCTTCTGGTCCAGTGCTGGGATCAGGGTTAGCAGTCACCAAGAAATCCAACTTTGTCTTCAGTGCCACTTGAGGGTGGCATTGGAGAATGATGATGAGAACCATGCTAGTCCTGGAGACACAGCCGCTGAGGTACTGGAAGAGGAAGGTCAGGGAGCTTCTTGTTGCCTCAGAGGACACTTGGAAGAGACAATAGCATCTTCCATGCCACACAAGACAAGCCATTGGGCAGCCACTCTGGGCTGCGTGCAGAGTGGGCAGCGGTGACTGTGGCTGGGAAGTGTGACCATCTACACCAGGGAATGAGCAAGCAGGGGACCCCTGGGGCTGCAGTGTGGCCGCTTTCAATGTCACTACCATGAATTGGAGAGCCTCTCGGCTTTCCCCGGGTCTCACCCCAGTACTAGGCCATGCGGAAACCCTTGGGTGCACGTATACCTCACTGTGTGATCATAGGACTCACAGGATCTGGGGCTGTCATCCTTAGTCATGACATGCTTGACTGCCTTTTTCCACCAGCGCCAGCCACTGTTCCTCTCCATGTCCCACAGGCTGGCTGTCGCAGATAGATGGAAAACCCCAAACTGTGACCCAGAATAAATCATCCCTCCCCAGCATGGCTTCTTGTTAGGTGTTTGGTCATAGGGATGACAAAAGTCACCAAAAAGTCACCAATGCCTCAGTGAAGAGGAATGAGCAGCAGGTTGGGTGTGAAGCCTGGGTCCTAGAGCTGTGCACAGAGCACTGGAGGCTGCTGTAGAATGCACACTACTAGGACCTGCCCATGGGACACGGGCCACACCTCTCTGTGCACCATCGCAAAGACAGGCGTGTAGTAACCAAGGACTTCAGGAGGGCGAGCAGGGCCGTGCAGCAAGTGTCCATGTGTTTTGTTTTTGTTTGTTTGTTTGTTTGTTTGTTTGTTTTGGCTCTGCGCTCATGGGGTAACTGGGCTATCCTGGCAAAGAGCCTTATGTCAGTGCAGCCAGCCTGCTCCCAGACACTGAGTCCCGGTGTCCCTGTTATGTGAGAGGACGTGTTTATGAGGCTGTGTAAATCAGCCTGCAGTGCCTGAGCACCAGAGTTCCCAGAGAAGCTGGGACTGGGAGTGGCACCCGCAGTGGGGTCTCAGACTGCGCTCTCAGCTGTCAAGTTCATGGTGGCCACCGCCAGAGTGCCGTGAGAGGCCGACAGTGCCCACGCCTACCTGCCAAAGCCTGCCCTCTTTCAGCTTAGGGCCAACAGCACAGCCCTAGCCTGCTGGGCCCAGGCCAGGTCCCAGCCACCAGACAAGAGGATGCTGGGGCCTGACCATCCTAGCGGCACAGAGTATGCGGTGTGTCGCTGTGGCCACAGGTCCCAACCCTGCTGGCTGGGCTTTTTCTCTGGCCATGCCACCCTATCAGCCTCCCTCCACAGGAACCCCAGCTATTTGGAGCCAGAAGGTTGTGTGTTAGGGCGGTCATGGTGTCGGGTGTCATTCTGAAGAGAAGCTTGTCACACCGGGCAGCTGGAGTAAGCCCCAGTACCCAGCCACGCCTGCTTCCCCGTGCTTCCTGTGCGCCCCTGCCAGCAGGTCAGCTCTGAAGACCCCAACACAGCCCTTCCTGGCTGAAGCACATTTGTCCCCATTGGCACTGCGGTTCGTCCCTGAGAAGGCCTCGTGCTGAAGCTGCCCCCCTGACCCTGTGGGTGTTCTCTCCCCAGGCAGGCCTGGGACCTTGCCGTGGACATTTGCCTGTCTCAGCTGCCAACCATCATCGAGGAAGGCACCGCCTTCAGGGTGAGTCCCCCACCCCCCACCGCCCCAGGAGACCCTGCCTGTGCCTCCATTGCAGACTGGGCTTCATGTGTAGCAGCCGGAATGCTGGAGTCAGGGGTTTAGTTTTTCACCTACCTAGAAAGAAGGTGCAGCTTACAGAGTTTTCAAGGTCGGGCCAGCCAGGCACTCGAGTTGGGTTTTAATGTGGTTGACCTTTCTGGGGGCGGGGGGAGCCCCAGACAGGGTATCTCTGTGTAGCACTGGCTGGGCTGGAACTCGCTTCGTAGAGCAGGCTGGGAGGTAGTCGACTTTTCCAGGCTGTTTTTCCCCAGGGTGTTGTAGTCATAAATCAGCTTTCTTCATTCAGCCAGAGGGAGGCATGTTTCCTACCGGTGGTGCCTTTCCCAGGGATTAGCTTATGGGTCTCCTGTGCCTGGGGGTGTAGCTCAGTCTCAGGTCATGCAGGTGAAAGTTGAGCAGCTGTGGGTTGGACCTGGTACCACTTGTGGCGTGTACAAATGAATGGCACTTCCCAGAGCCTTCTTAGCAGTCTCGGCCCCTTGGATTTCTCCACTGTGGGTGAAGCTCCTGAACTGACTAAAGCCCCGTCCCTGAGCTCAAGAGCACGGGCACACCAGTCAGGCACATTTATGAAGCCAAGACGACATAAGCCTGGGGAGGGGTTGGGCTCTCAGCAACATAGAGGCCACCTCCCACTGCTGGAGCCATCGCACGTCAAGTCCAAGAGCCAGGCAGTGTCTCTGTGGCTCACTGAGACTATCTCCCCGAGCTTTGGAGTCCTCATTTTGTTGTTGCTTAAGGCAAGCTCTTTCTACATAGTCCTGGCTGTCCTGGAACTCACTATGTAGACCAAATTGGCCTTGAGCTCACAGAGATCTGCCTGTCTATGCCTCCTGAGTGTTGGATTAAAAGTGTGCCCCAAAACACCCAGCCTGGCTGGTTTCCTCATTTTTAAAGGGGATTCTGGGGAAACCCAATTCAAGTATCTATGTGTGATGTGTGTGATGGCTAAATGAGTTAGCATCCCTCCAGTGCTTAGGACAGACTTTACACATGTGGACAGCCGTCATATGTTCTTGTACAGCTCACTGCCCAGAGAAAACTGGCCACTGACCACTGTGTATGTCAGCATCATCTGTCAGCATCCCTGCTGCAGAATCCAGCCTGGGCCTTTGCATGCACTAGCATACTGCATTCCGGGTGTGTGTAGGCTATGCTAGATCCCCAGATGTGCCCTGAGGTTGACATGATGGGGGCAAAAGGCATTTAAAGGAGATCTCCTAGTCCCTTTTGTCAACATTGTGTCAATATTCTTCTGCTCTTTGTTGCTTTTTGGGGATAGGGTGATAACATGTTATTATAGATGATTTTAAGCCTATAGCAAAGTTGGGTGGGCTCTAAAGCCAGCAGCCATGCTGCCCACCCCTAAGTTCTGCCATTACCTTTCATGCAGTGCCCCCTGTGCCGCTGTGTGTCTGTGTCTCTGTGTATCTGGCTATGTGTGTATGTGTTGCAGGCTCTGCTCTGAGTATCTGCACTGAAGAGATGACATAGTTTTGTCTTGTCTTTCCCTGATGAATGTAGCATCCATTGCTCAGCTTCCAAACAGAAAGCCTGTGTGCCTGCCTTTCCTAAACTATTTGATACATCACCATGTCTCTTTCAGAGTCCCAAACCTCCATTAAAAAATGGCACCTGGACCATGGTAGCTGCCTCCACCTCTGATCCTTACTTCTGTGCAAACTAAAATGTCCCTAATATTCTCCAGAAGGGACAGGATTGTATGTGCAGCTGGATGCCTGGAAAACCCCATTAAAACATCAGTCTTGATGGACAGTGGTGGCGCATTCCTTTAGTCCCAGCACTCAGGAAGCAGAGACAGGTGGATCTCTAAATTCGAGGCCAGTCTGGTCTACAGAGCGAGTTCCAGGACAATCAGGGCAACATAGAGAAATCTTGCCTTGAAAAACAAAACAACAACAAAAAAAAAAAAAGAAAGAAAGAAAGAAAGAAAGAAAGAAAGAAAGGAAGAAAAAACCACTCTCTTTTCTTCAGATCCTGGCTTCCCTTGCTTAGATGAGAATTCAGCTCTTAGGAGTAGCACAGAATCAGTGTTCTGCAGTAAGGGAACATTGGGGTGTCAGGTGTGGGTGGGGCTTGGGGGGGGTCACTGATCTAAGCCGTGTGGGTGTGTGTGTGGGTGGGTGTGTGTGTGTGTGTAGGATAGATGTAGAAAGCCATATTTATCATAACATATGGCTTGGTGAATCCTCACCAGTTCAGCACACTCTCATACCCAGCCCCCATATCGGGCAGTCACAAACTGCTCCTTGTCTCTGTGGCTACTTGCCTGTCTGCTGCCATGGTTGAGTACTGGTGAGTGTGCTCTTTGAGTCTGATTCCTTCTACCCAACAGTATGCCTTGGAACCCCTTTCCATACCAAAAAAGAGGAATGGTGTCTGCAGGCTCCAAGTGGCCATTCCGTGGCCAACTTGTGTTTCCAGTGTGTGCGGCCCTCACGGCCGCTGCTGGCCCAGGCCCAGAGACTGTGTGGCTGGAGATAGAGGGAAGCAAATCATCCTGAGCTGTCTGTCTAAGTGGCGCTCGCTTTTATCATGCTGTACATAATATCGCAAGGTATCTACCTTCATTTCTGGAATCTGGGGGCAAGTACTCTCCCATCCTATACTCTAAATTTTGGACACACTACAAGCAACCTCACTGATGCTGCCCCGGGTGCTGCCCACCCCTGCACGTGCCTGGGGAGCACGGTGGTGCCTGTCCTGTCCGCTTGGAAGCTAGTGGGACAGCACCAAGCTGGCTGTGTGGTTAGTGGACAGCTTTGGTTCACAGCTGTCCAGGCTCTGGCTCCATGTGAGTCATGGCATCGTCTGTCCCCAGTGCCATCACACTGCGGTGTCCTGTGAGCATCTCTTATTCTGCACTCTGCATTTTCATGTTTTTACCTTTTTTTCTTGTTTAGCAGACTTCTCTTGTGTTAAGCAATTTCCTATTAAAATTTGTTAATGGTTAGGGCCTTTGTTGCATTGCAAAGCCATCATGATGGACCTGAAGTGAGCACCCCAAATGCCTGTCTTCCCTTCAGAGCTTTGTGTTCTTCTCTCAGAGCTCTGCCACGTGTGCGCTGCAGCAGAAAGTGGGTGCCCACTCTTGAGTGTTGTCGTCTCGCTGGACCTGGTGACAGTGTGTGAGCCTCTGGCCTCTCTGCTGTTCTCTCGGGCACTTTGCCCAGGCCCCGCGGTCTGAACATTTGTAGACGATGGTGAAGCTGCTAGTCTGCCCTCCGCCTGTGCTCTTTCCACTGCCGCCCCCGATTCCTTTCGACCCTTTGTGTCCCATGTGACTATTTCTTCAGAGAGCCTGCAGGGCTCTGACTGAGTCTATGGAGTATCAGACATGAGTTGGAGAATGCTGACATCTGTATAACACCGAGTCAACACGGCTAAATTCTGTTTCGTTCTTTTCCTTTTTATTTGTGTGTGCATTGTTTCAAATAATTTTGTATGTCAACTTGACTGAATTCACATCTTTTACTGTTGTCTTAGGCAGGGCTTCTATTGCTGTGAGGAGACACCATGACCACAGCAGTTCTTACACAGGGAAGCATTCCACTGGCTGGCTCACAGTTTCAGGGGTTTGGTCCACTGTCATCATGGTGAGCCGCGTGGCAGTGTGCAGGCAGACATGGTGCTGGAGCGGGGGCTGAGAGTAAGGGGAAACACTGTGCCCCCTGGGCAGAGCTTGAGCACCGGAGACTCAGATGAGTGCTCAGGCCACAAGGCCTTGACCGGACTGAGGGTGAGGGTGGGGTGGAGAACTTACCCACTGCTCCGCCCTCTCTTTTACAGCACAGCCCATTCTTTGCTGAGCAGCTCACAGCGTTCCAGGTGTGGCTCACGATGGGCGTGGAGAACAGGAGTCCGCCTGAGCAGCTGCCCATTGTCCTACAGGTCAGTCACTCCCACAGGCCCACCCCCACGGGGCTGTGTGCCACACCCGACCTGAAGTCAGTAGGTGCTTGCCTACTCCCAGTGGCCTTTCCTTGGCTAAGCCATTGAGTTCCCATCTTCCTCTCCCAATTAAATATAAACCGGGATAGACCACACCTCTCCTGCCTACAAGTCAGGAGCTGATGAAACACTATTGCCAACAAGCTCTGCTGAGATGCAGGCTCCTGGTACCTCCCCCCTTCTGCTTGGAAGGACATGAGATGCAAATCTGTCCTGTGAGAAAAGGGTGGGGTTACCCAACAAATCCTAACTGGACCACGGCATCGCTCGTCTTAACCAGCAACCAGAGCAGTGCAGACAGGCCGGGCGCCATCGGCCATCTATTGGTAGGGGCTTTCTGGGTGTGTCTTATCATGTGCAAGCTGGTCTGGCTGAGGGGAACCCATCACAGCCTGCTGACTTCTGGCTACTAGCATGGCATGGGATAAGAACATGAGTAGTGGACTTGTCTCCACAGGTGGGTAGATAGCAGGTCACCAAGTTTGCGTTTAATTCGGTGTGTATTTGTGGGACAAGGTGGGGAGCTGGCTTGTGTCTAAGAAAAGCCAGATCGGACACTGAGAACTCACATGAGGTGCAGGGCGGGGCCGGAGGAGCTCTGTCAGGGTATGAAGCCGTTCCATATCCCTGGAGGGTCAGGACAGAACTTGCCAAGGGCCAGTGAGAGGGCCATCACTCTCCGGGGCACTTACCACGGTAGCTCCCGCTATAGAACAGGCCACGGGTCTGATTGCCGCCTGGCTAGGACATTGGCCTTGCTTCCTTCCAAGAATGGCTTGTGCTTCCTTATTAGGGCTGGCAACCACATTGTGATGGATAGACAACCGTCCATCTTCCGTGGGCTGAATGCTCAGGGCAACTACAGCTCAAATATCTCTCCCAATAGCACACAGTGGACCCTTCCTGCCCAGTCTCTCCCATAGGACATCCAGCCTCACAGCCGCTAGGTCATTCACCTACCCCAGACCTCAGAGCTCTCCTCATCTAGAGCCCCCCAGGAATCCCAGTCAGCAAACAAAAAGGCAAGAAAGAAGATCATGTGTAAATGTAAAATGTGACAGTAGCAGGCTCCTGCTGAAGTGGGAAGCTTGAAAGAATGGCTTGGGTCAAAGGGGGACGATTCTGTTGTCTCTTCTGACATATCTCTTGCACATGTCTACATTGGTTTTTACACTGTGCTGGGATCACAAAGTGAGTGATAAGTTATAGCAAATGTTTTCCAAAGTAACAGCGGCACAGTAACAATAGCAAGACAAAGCCTGTCGTACTCCTTACACCTGGAGACGGAGGTGCCCACGTGACTCTGGGGAATGGCAGCAGCACTGGGGGCCCCTCTCAGGTGGCCTGGGTCACCGTGCAGCTCGCTCCAACCCGCCGCATAACTGTAGCCGCACGGCAGAGAAAAAGATGGTCCTCCCAACAGCAGCGCCGTGGTGCCAGGCATGTTAATCCAGTCCTTTAGGGTCTGGCAAACAATCCTTTCATAATGGCTTTTATCGACCTTATTTTTCATGTTCCGTTTACAACCCATAGTCTCTCAGGGAGAGGGAAGAACTGTAGAGCCAGTCTGCTGCCAAAACATGGAGAAATGTCTGCAAAGAGAACATGAGCCATTTCCATGTGATGTTCCAGGGGAACGTAAGCTGCAGGTCCTCAGCACACGAAGGCAGGCCCTGTCTCCCCCAGCAGGCCCAGCCTGTCTCAAGGGTGAGCCTGATAAACGAAACTAGGAATAGATAAAAGGGATAAAGGCTGGCGGTGCAAAGGGGCTCCGGGTCCATGCGCCCGCCCTGGGCTCACTCACCCCTGGTTACTGTCCTTGCTTGTCCTGAAATCCTTTCTTGTTGCCAAAGCCTGAACCGGCTTCTCACAGTTACCCTCCAGCACCTTGGTAGAGCTGGAGACCTTAGTAAGGGAGAACGTCTCTCTTTGGGTGCCTGCCACTCCCATAAGCCAGAGTGGATTCTTCTACCCAGTGACCGAAAGGCATTAGCTGGTGCTGTGTGAGTGTGGGAACCCCGTGAGGTCAGTGATAAACAGTAGTGTGGACCCCGCCTCTCCCACACAGCTTCAGCACCTTTTCTGGCTTTTAAAGATGGAGTCAACAGAAAGGACCGAATGCCAAGACTGACATCTGTAGCCACTGTCAGTTTTCAAAAGGCGATTCCAAAGTGTGGGTCCCTTCATGGCAGCCATCCCCTCCTCAGGGGTGGGGTAGGTGGGCAGAGGCATCCCAGACTCAAGAAGAAAGGAAGCCATCATCAAGCAAGAATGAGCTCACAGGGCAGCGTTATCCTCTTATGTGGCTGCTACAAAATCACAAGCGCCTCACAGAGAGCTCTTTGCTGTCACTGGATCTTGGCCCGACGGGGGCCAAGCTGCCATCTGCCCCCATTCTCCATGATGGGGCTGCCCTCAGAAGTTCTGGGTCCCCTGCCCCCACCACCCCTACCCCAGCCTCAGTTTCTCTGAAGTAAAACGACTGAGCAATGTTTGTGCACTGAGAGGGGAACATGGGTTACCTTGGCAGACCCTGTTTCACCTGGAGTTTACACAGTCACATTTGCTCTTTAGAACCACTTGCCACAAATGACGGGAACCCAGATCCCGCTCAGTCTGTCATTTGTGATTTCCTGTGTCTGGTACAGTAGGAAACCGGAATTTGTTGGTTTTTGTTTTTTTTTTTTTTTTGTTTTTTTGTTTTTTGTTTTTTTAATTTTTAAGAGAAGATTTATTCATTTTATGTGCCTGGGTGTTTTGCACGAATGTATGCTTATGCAACAAGTGCTCTGACCACAGAGGCCAGGAGAAGAATCAGATCTTCTGGAACTGGAGTTATAGATGGTCTTGAACCACTATGTAGGTTCTTGCAATTGAACCAGGTCCTCTGCAAGAGCAGCTGGCACTCTTGACTGCCAAGCCAAATCTTCTGCTCTCCACCCCACACATACACTTTCCAATTCTTTGAAGTACAAATACACACCCCCAAAAAGCCAGCCTATATTCTTAAAATAATTTTAACTCGTGTTGGACCTCAATTTCTTAAAGGTATAAACTAACAAAAGAAACAGGACACACGCTGTTGTGGGGGGTAGTATTTACATTATCCCATAGTCTTCATCGATGATGCTTATTTCCACATTAAATGATAGTGGACAGTATTGCCCATCAGCAGACACTGTTAATCCCATTTTGTTCCTAAGGATTGTTTTGACCTTGTACTGAGCATTAATAAATCAGAGTCAAGAGATGTCAGGTACTTTGCCCAGTCACATCGCAGTGAGTGCGTGGCCATGCCTCTTGTTAGGAGACTGAGGTACCTATTCTAGGGCACTGTAGTAATGTCGTGTAGATGTTACAACCTATACTTCTACCTTTCATATTCTCAGGAGGAAAAAAAAAAATGTTTAAATGTGCAAAGATGTGCAGATTAGGAAATTTCTCACAGCATTGTGGGAAGGGAATAAAATGTGTTGCCTGGTTTAGATTCACTAGGCAAGGTGTACATAGAGAACAACGGCACCAGTAGTGGTCCTGTTGAACACAGTGGAAGGTTCATATGTGCTTTGCAGAGGTGACATGTTTTACTTGGATAATGAAGATGTAGTTTTCATCCTATCTAAAGCATGAACTACACAGGCAGCATCTGAGCTAGAAAAAAAGAATCACTGGATGTGAGGAAGTTGTCTTGCCAGACCCCTCCTGGGCTGCGAGCTCACACTGGAGCTTTCCAGCGAGGTGGCAATTGTGTCATTTCGTTGTGGTTCAATATCTTTCTTGCCTCTCCAGGTGCTGCTAAGCCAGGTGCACCGGCTGAGGGCCTTGGACTTGTTGGGACGCTTTTTGGACTTGGGTCCCTGGGCGGTGAGCTTGGTACGTGCCTTCTGCCTTACCTGGGGGACGGGAGGCAGAGATTAGACTCAGTGAGGTAGTCTATGAACTCCAAAGCAGAACCAGCCATAGTCATGTAAGCTAGGGTGAGCTTCGGGGCTTTTGTCCTTGGTGCCCATCATTGATAAACTTAGCAAAAGCCAGGAGCCACAGGCGGGAGGAATGCCTTCCACAGGCTTTTCCTCCCAGGAAGTCACACTCTCATACTGTCTGCACTGTGATTTGGGCACAGTTCTGCGCCATTCTTTTTAGTCTCCGTTCTGCAGAACTAGTAGAACCAAGCAGTCATACAGGTCTGCAATGAATAAGGAAACCAAAGAGAGCTGGGGGAGCCTGCAGACTAAAGAAACGTTAGAGCCTGTGACCATCTGCAGTGTGGACAGTTTGTTTGGCTCTTCCTGGAGTAAAGGTTTAGAGCTAAAAAGACGGCTCTCTGGGTAAAGTGCCTGTGAGCCAGCTTGAGGGCCTGAGTTCAAATCCACAGCACCCACGTAAAAGTGAGTAACACGTAGTAAAATTACCTACTTAAGGTCTGCTGCGGCGTGCTATAGGGTGAGCAGGTTAGGGTTCATTAATTAGATATCGCCAACAAAGAGTGATCCGTTGCAGGCTAGCATTGAAGAGGGAGGGAGAAAAGCCTCAAAATAGGAAGAGCAGTATTTGAAGGGAAAGAGAAAAGTCTAAAATCGGGCAGGAGAATCTAACAGTAGTTTCTCTAGCTTGGTGCTGGGGAGGAAGGGCCAGGGATGCTTGCAAGCTGCTGAGTGAAGGGACAAATGAGCGCTAGCACACCGGGGGCCTGTGCTGTGCTGATGCTGTCTTTTGCCTGCAGGCCCTGTCCGTGGGCATCTTCCCCTATGTGTTGAAGCTGCTCCAGAGCTCAGCCCGAGAGCTGCGGCCACTCCTTGTCTTCATCTGGGCCAAAATCCTGGCTGTGGACAGTGTGAGTACCTTCGGTCCATCTCCGGCTCTGCCGGTGGACCCCACCTGACAGTGACCGTCAGGCTTTAGCTGGGGCTGCCATTCCTGTCCTTCCAGAACTGTGTGCCTGCAGTCTGGCTGTCCTCCCTCCCTGGCAGTACCGGCAGCCAGATCACCTGTGTGTCTTCTGCGTGTCCCTGGCCCCCACACTGTGACCATGTCCTGACCATTCTTGAGGCCCTTCTCTGTTTCTGACAGTGGCAGCAAGTGGCACTGGGCCCGGCCTGCCTCCCCACCATAGCTCTGTCCTGCTACACTCTTCTTCCCGTTTCCAAACAAGCTAGCACTGGCCCCAAAGCCAGCCCGTACCCGTCCTGTCTGTACCCACCCTGCCTATAGCCCTGGATGGACCATTAATGGTCCCTTCTTTACAGGTGACTTCCCAGCCCCAACATCTGTATCATCCATAATCCCTTACATCCCCTGGCCTGTAGCCATTTGTCTTCTATACAACAATTGGTGGGACCTATACCCAGAGCTTTGTGCTGAGGTCTATAGGTGGAAAAGAGCTTAACTGTCCCTGCCCTTGACCTCAGAAGGCTCACTCCTTTAGGGGTCACAGGCATAGGCAGCTTAAAACAGAACACACACACACAAAAAAAAAAAACATTGTGGGGCCAGGGTCACACCTTATAGGAGCAGGAGTCACTGACTGTGAGCGTGACATGGAGTGATTCTGTGAGGAGGGCTGGAGGCTGACACTTCAAGCAAGCCAGGGACAGTAGAAAGGTCCAGGGGACTGTGGGGAAGGCAGTGGATGAAGCCTCCAGCTGTGTTTCACAGGCTATGGGGTCTGTGTGAAGTAGCTCACAGGGAGAGGTGTCGGGAAGAAGGTCCTCCCGGAAGGAGAAGCTTGAGGTGAGTGTGGGTTCAAGCCATGAGGAGACCCCATTCCCGGCTCCACCAGCGGCCAGTGATAGTGCTAGTGCGTGAGACGGGCTGTCCTGATGATGAGATGAGCTGTGCAGATGTGGAGCAGGTGCAGGTGCAGAGCCTGGGACGACAAGGGCAAACCCAGACGAGGTTCCAGATGTGCTGGCATCAAAGATGACCCCCCCCCCCCAACAGGGCTGTAGATGACTGGACTGGGAAGTCTGGGGAGGCCGTCCTGCTTGGTCTGCACTCCAGAAAGCGCACACTGATTCCCAGATGAGGTGGGAACCAGCTTGGCAGGGACCGTGGGGAGCAAATGGCACTGGTCTGTGTTGAGGCTGCTTGTGGGGCTGGCCGGTGAGGAAGGAGGTGAAGAGGCATCAACCGTCATCAGCTTTGCTTATCTGTCTGCTTTGGAGACAGTCTGGAACAGGTCTGTGGGTTGGGACACCTTTGGGGGTGTTGGATGACCCTTTCACAGGCTTCATCTAAGAATATCGGGAATTTACATTATGAGTCATAACAGTAGCAAAATGTTGGTTATAAAGTAGCAACAAAAACAATCTTGTGGTTGGGGTTACCACAGCAGGAGGTCTAGAAGATCAAGTCTGTTGCTAGCATTTCGGTATGGGTGTGTGCCTGAGGCAGGAAGACAAAGCCACTGCAGGTCGGGGGAGGATGGGCATGGCTGGCAGTGTCACAGGCTGATCTCTCCCCTTGAGGATGACCTTGAACCCTGTCACTCCTGCCCCGTCTCCCAAGTGCTGGGGCTGTAGGTGTGTGCGGTGGTGGGAGGGGAACCCGGGACTTCGTGTGCCCCAGGAAAGCATGCTACCGGCTGAGCCACATCCCCTGCCCCTCCACCCTCCACCCTGAACCTTGCTCAGCCATATTCTTTGGCCCCTTTCCCCCCCCCCCCCCCCCCCGCCACCAGCTGGCTTGGAGACTAAGTGCCGGATCCCACACTGCCCACTGTCTGTCCTGCCGGCATGCCACTCACTCCACACAGTCCCGTTCTCTCTTCCCTCCTGCATCCCAGACCTTTGTACAGATCCCTGGGCACCTGCTCACCCCTCCCCTGCGCAAACGGCACTCAGCTGGACACTGTGCTGGCCCTGAAGCTCCTCTTCCTGGACAAGCGTTCACGGACAGCTTGTGTGTGGCGAAGTCTGCATGACACTCCTGTTCCCATGCGCTCTGTGGTAGAGCCCTGCAGCTTTACTAGTATTTGCTTCCTCCCGTTGTGCAGCAGACAGTTGGTGGCTTATCCATCCTGTGACGTCCTATAGTCTCTTGGACTATCTCTGTACCCTGTCAGCCAGCCTGGTACATCCCCCTACTCACGGGTCTCTGGTTTCTCTGGCCTGTGTCCTAGCCAGGACCCTAGTGCACTGCTGAGACACGCCGCCTGCCCTGTGGCCTTGTGCTCTGCACCTGGCTAACTGGTGAATGCCACCGTTATATGCTCTCTAATAACCACATATTATACATGTCAACCACATAGTCACCATTCTGTGTGTCACGGCACCTTGCCCTCAGCGCTGTGTGTAGGAGTTAAAGGGCGGAGGTGAGGCTGCTGCCATTTGTTCAAGCCACCCCCCCTCCCCACTCCCCTGCAGCAAAATTTTAACACCAGAGCCATGACCTGGAAAGGTCTTTTGTGAATTCCAATGAAGTGGGGTCCCTCAGGGAACAGCGTCATATTTGTCTTACCTGTGACACCGGAAGCTTGCTTTTGTGGCTCACGGAGCCCGTACTTTTTGATCATTTCTATTTTGCCTTTATTCTGATTCCGATTTACTGAAGGGCCAAGCTATATAAACAAAAGGCTTTTCTTAGGGACTTGCTTCTACACGGCTTCTCTTCTACCCTGTAATCTTCATCCTCTGTACCAGCATGTTTGGAGCTGGCAGTAGTGATGTCACAGTGAAGGGCTCCTGGGAGCCTGTCATGGAACAAAGTCAGCATGAAGGAACAAGGGCAGAAATGGTCACAGGGCATGGGTCTGACTGTAGGCGCCAAGCTTCATGTCTGTGTTCAGATTGTGCATGAGACGTGGAGTTTGGCCCTGGTAGCCATTTGTTTCTGCTAGTGCCGCATGAACACATGTGAACCAATTTGGTTACCATGGTTAAGAGTTTTGAGTTTGTTGTTTTGTTTTCAGTATTTTTGTCCCTAAAGATAAATATACCTGGGTTTAAAGTCTTAGGCAGGGTCGGGTCTGAAAGCAGGTAGCATTTCTTAACAATGCTCTGTGGCACTGTCATTGACATTACAGTTGGCCACCTTGTTCCACTGCATGGAAGGAAAGCATAGGAGAAAGGGAGCATGGAGACAGGAAGAAAGGAGACATGGGTAAAATTGAGGAGCTGTCACCCAGACTGAAAAGGCTCTAGAATCTGGAGCCGCAGGTGATATCACTGATGGTTCTAAAAGAATGGGCAGTAAATGTTGTCAGTGACCTCGACAGACTGGCTTGTTACAAACTGACATGGGAGACTTAGTGAAGGAGAAACAGATGATCTTGGTAGCTTTATATCTGTTAGAGAACACTACAGGTCCAGATGGTTTCCGTGGAGAATTCTTCTAAACATTAAGGAAAAGGCATATGGGTAACAGGGCCCCTGTCTGTATTGCTTCATGAGATAAGTAACACTCTGGTACCCAAACACAACACAAGAGAATTGTAGACCTCATGAATATAAATAACACAAACCCTAAGTAGAAAAATTCAACAGAAAACATCAATATGCAGACCCAAGCATATTGCTACAATGCTTGCTGTGAAAGCATGGGGACATGAATTTGATCCCCAGCCCCACAGAGAAGCTGAGTGCATCCGTAGTTTTCAGCACCCAGGGGCAGAGACAGGTAAACGGTAGCTCTCCGTCCAACCACTTAGCCAGTTAATGAGTTCAAAAATAGATAAATAAAGTGGAATGTCCAAGGAAGACACCTAATGTAAGCCTGTGCCTTCCGCATTCACTGTTCTGCACATGCACCCCCTCCCCCTCCCTCCTGTCTTCTCCCTTCTCCCCTCATCTCTCTTCCTCTCTCTCTCCCTCTCTCCTCCCTCCCTCTCCCCCTCTCCCTGTCTTCCTTCTTCTCTCCCTCCCTCTCCCTCCCTGTCTTCCTTCCTCCCTTCCTCTCTCCCTTTACATCATGGCCTAGTAGGCTTTCTTTAGGATTGTAAAAGTGTTTAGTAGCTGTGGAGGTGAGTTTTAATTGTCAACTTGACAATCTAGAATAGTGAGTTGTGATCCCTTTGGGGTGCCATTTCCTGTATCCTGCATATCAAATATTTACATATTGATTCATAACGGTAGCAAAATTGCAGTTGTGAAGTAGCAAAATAATCTTATGGAACATGAGGAACTGCACAAAGGCTCGAAACGTTGGGAAGGTTGAGAACCTCTTGTCTAGAATCAAACAGGAAGAGTCACTGAGGTACTGTCTCCATCAGCCTGGCCTGTGGGCGTGTCTATAAGGGATGTCTTTATTACATTAATTGATGTGGGAGAGCACAGCCCTCTAGTGCGACAGACACCATTCCCTGGCGTTGGGCCCTGCATTGTGTAAGGACAGAGACTATGGGCTGAACAGGAAGCGTGCATGCACACAGTCTGTCTGCTCCTGGTTGGGATGTGACTAGCTGCTTCAGTTCCTGCCTTGACCTCCCCCAGTGACAAACTGTAACCTGGAATTCTAGGCCAAACAAAATCCTCTCCCTTCAGTTGCATTTATCAGGGTGTTTCATCAGCACCAGGAATGAAACTGAGACAGCAATTAAAAGTTAATGGGCTGACCATATCAACAAAAGAAGAAAGTTGTGTATATACTCTGAATTCTCGGGGAAAACTTTCAATGGGTTCCCAGCTCCTACACCAGGTGCTGGCTCACTAGCAACTGTAACTCCAGCTCCTGAGGATACGATGCCCTCTTCTGGTCTCCAAGGGAACAAGCACACATAGACAGATAAGCATATAATTTTTAAAAAGTTTACCTGCGCTATGGTGATACCCGCCTTTAATCCCAGCACTCTGGAAGTAGAGGCTGGCAGATCTCTTGAGTTCAAGGCCAACCTGGTCT